ATTTTATTAATGTTACTAATTGCATCATAGGGTCGATGTTTAACTGGACTTCATCCGGTACTAACTGCCTTCAATTTACTTACTTAACGAGAAAGCCGTGAAGTTTTCTTCTGAACACGCGATATTGCAACGACTCTAAACATTTATTAGCAGGTCATGGAATTCCGGTTTTTATTTTGCTTTATTCCCAGTTCTGACAACCTATTTTTAGAAAATCACGTTATATATAACTATTTAGATAGAAAAATAGATTCGCCGGCATTGGATAACGGTCTTTATTTATGCATTAAGTCCATTAAAATCGGAGTAGGGTTTCAATGTATTATCCATAATAATTGCTTTATATTAGTACATGGATATTTTTAGAAGATTTGGACGTAGAAGCCTATGTCCTCAAATTGCTATTCTATCTCTACCATAAAGTGTCACGTTTTCGCTAGTGCACGTTTTGACCAATAAAAGCGCTACCTGTAAAAATTGACTTACGATAAGTTCTACATCCAATTTAAGATCACTTTTATTCTCCAATCAACATAAAATCTAAAAAATCAAGAAATGGACACAGGCTAGTTCAGCATCCAAGTGACAATGTAGATTAGTGTACTCGTTAGTGAACCAGTAAAAGAAATATAAATCGAGTTATAAAATAAATTGCTGTTTTGGTATAAATAAACTTAAAAATTCATTGGTCGTCAGGAGTGGGATACTGTAAATTAATTATGGGTAACAAGGGATAAAAAACAGAGTGACAGAGTTGTGTCGGGAACTAGAAGATTTTCTCGGGATGTGAATGTTTTCTCTTTTTATTATTTATTTAAAATTGGCCTCATTTGAGAAATTGGAATTTTTCCTCGTTTTCTCCCATTTATTTAAAATATTTATCAAATTTTATCCCAATTTCCTTACGCATGCATTGTGACCCACAAATTAAGAGAATATAATAATATTAATGATTTTAGAGACGATATAATGACAACTAGAAAATATTAAATGGAAAACCTTTTTAATTTTGTACCTTCCCTATTATCGAATGGGAGACCCAATATATCTCAGTATTTTAATAACTATTTGTTATTTAAATAAAGTTTATTTCTAAAAAACTTAAGTATGTAGAAACATATTTAAAACAAGAAGAAAAAGAAGATTTTCTAACTTAACCAAAAAACCTTTTCTTGTCACTTGTCTTAATATTGTCATACTAAAACCACATGTATATGTAAAGTATTTTTAACATCTTTCTTTAGTTTTTACCGCATTCTCAACAACAAACAACAAAGTAGATACTTATTTTTTTCATAATTTACAAACATATCTACCTATCCAATTTCCTCTAAATACTTATTAAATGTCATTAAGTAGAAATAAACGAATTTATTTCCAAAATATATAACTGTTACAGTACTTACTTTTTCCTACATAATTCATTAAACAATAACCAATTGGTATAAACAAACTTTGGCATAAAATCAATAGAGATGTACACATTTATATATAATGATAGTTGTATATCCTTTACAGTTTGAAAATTGTTTGTTTTCTCACCTGGAAATTATCTGCACGATACTTGAAACCATTAGAAAAATAGAGAAACTTTTATTTTTAGTCAAGAGTATTTATTGAAGTTTGCGTTTATGCCAAGGAAATATTAAAGAACATGCATTATTTGTTGCATGAAGCTAAACAGTTTAATCTGACATGTATGTACTTAGCCTTGTTTGGTTTTTACTCTATCTTGTTACTTTGTTGAACGATTTTGTTACAAAGAATCGAACTGCACATTAAACAGGTAAAACTATATTAAGCATAAATTATTTATAGTAACGGCAAACCACAACTTGTCAAACTTAAACTCAAAGTCACCGGTGGACCAAAAGTATGAAGTCCGTAAACTAGGTGGGCCGCAAAACCTAATCTTAAAGAAAACAAACTAGATACTGAAAATGTTAACGAAACAAGCATTATTATAGAATAAGTATATTTATTAAATTTTTAATAATAAGGGCCGCAATAAATGGCATTTTTTAAAATTGATTCGGCCCGCAGGAAAATGCTTAGCGGGACGCAAATTTGATACGGCTGAGCTAGAGGGTAAGGAAACATTGAAAAGGGGATCACTAGGCTGACCAACAGCAATCGGGCTTGTGCGTATCAACTCGCGTATCGGGGAAAACACTATTCATTTGTGATTGCTGTGGTGGGAGGTGTTTGTTTGTTTTCATTTACGCCGTGACTAGCAGTAGTATTTTATAAATCTTAGAAGCAAATTTCACAGACATAAACAAATAATAATTATGCCGTGACAACAAGAAGACGAAGTGATGACTTCTCGTAGGGTGGCGTCTTCGCCGCCACCATAAAATTTCAATCCATACCTGGCTACGCCGATCGGCATACACACCAACGGCCTTTACACAGCTCATGTATTCTGTCAAAAGGAGACCGATGCACAAATAAAACGCGTACGACATGCGCACTACAAATGATTAGCGTTGTCTCCGATACGCGAGTTGCGTAACATGCTGTGTCATGAGGCTAGTTGTGTTTTGCGTTACTTGCGTTTAAGTTGAATAAAGAGTAGAGAGTTAAAACAATGGAGGTAGTAGAGAGAGAAGTCGCTACTCGAGTACTGAAACGGTAACACCTGCGCCATATTGTAACCATCCTAATATCATTTGTGACATTTACTTGTAACTTTTGCGGTATGTGTTTTATTTTTCAGTTCACTATAGCAGGTTAATGAATTGCCCGTAAGAGATTGTAAGATTTGTCTGCAGGAGACCTTTTTGTTGCTGAAGATTAGCGGCTGAACGTCTGCCTAATGTGGCACTGCCCATACAAATGAAAAAAAAAAAAAATATATATATATATATATATATATATATATATATATATATATATATATATATATATATATATATATATATATATATATATTTCACTTGGATTGGTTGGTTTTTGTGGATCGGCTCCTTCCTGTAAAATAATTTTTAGCACTGTTCGGTTAAAGATGTATTCTACCATCATAGATTCTAGTTCAAAATCAGGCGCTACGCTGAATCCATCCATATTTACCGTGTCGGTCATATATTTTTTTGCAGTAATGGTTACTGTTCTAAATGCAATATTATGCGAAAGTCTAAAAATAACAAATTTGTGGGTTGCTTCCTTTCTGCAGAAAGCCGTCCAATTAGACATCAAGAAGAACAAACGGTCCGAATATATGCAACTAAGATTACGTTCTCCAATACCATTGACTATTACTGGGCCGACCTTGTCACAGCTATCGGAAAGATGGCAACAGAGTGTGCCGGTTCCCCATTAGAAATACATTGCCTATGCCTGACCACAGGCCTGACCATACTGCATTATCAGTGTGTCCCGAACATAGCAAGCCTTATTATGTCATTTTTTTTTATCAAATCAAACAGATTATTAAAATTGAACCTCCCATATAAAACATCCATATTTTCCAAATTTTCTTCATCATTTTTTATACAGTGTTTTGTTGGATATTCTGATGAAGAATAATACGAATCGTGCTCTGTTAAGTTCTTTAATTACCTAATTAACTCTATCAGTTAAATAACAGCTGATTGACCAAAATCGAAGTCACATACTTTGATTTATCGAAGTATGTCAACTAACCTTCAAAACTTGTCAGATGTCAAATGTCCGATTAAGTACACCGTTGCTGGGTTTCTTATATAATTCTCACATGTCTTAAGCATGACAGAACACACAGCTTCATCTAAATCATCATAATCCTCATTTAAAGCCCTCTAAATTCAAAATTTGCTAATTATCAATAGTTTTCTTAAAAAGTATATAAGTATATAAAGTTGTAGATATTTTTACTCAATGCTTTTGCTTTAACTATTGTCTTATTCCAGATTGCACGTTTAACGTTACGTCAATTTCTACGATTACGTCAGAGAGATGCGCATACGTTTCTAGCCTTGCTTTAACTAAGTCTCTATTAGCTGATCTAGCCTCAGTAACAGAATACGCAACTCGCAAGGTAGCATAAACTAAAGCCATATTCGAGCGGTATCTTTGATTTAAAAAAATTTCAACAACTTTTAGAACCAGTTTTAATACTATGTAATAAATTTTGAAAGCGCTCAAATAAATGATTTTAAAACAGTGATGTCACTGTTAAGTTAACGATTTGTGAGTTTGTAAATCTCTAGCAACAAATAATTTTTTCCTCGTATGTTAAAGAGAACTTCATGTAATATTACCAGAGATTTATGAAAAATGGATCGTTATATTTAGAATCTGACTTTAACCAGTTATTTGGAATTACAAGGTCAAGTTTTCAAGCATTCCTTAAAATTATAAACCTTCATATTTATGCATTTTCTATTTTTTCTTGTGACCATAATATAAATAATCTTTGTTATCACGAATTTTATTGTTTTTGTCATCCTCTATGATGTGTGTTATTATTTTTGACATTAATGACATTTTTATTCTATTTCCTCGAACCGTTCTTAATGAAACGTTTCAAAAACAGATGCAGCTGGTTTAAACCTAATTTAACGTGACGTCATTGTTTTGTCACTCGAATGGGAATAGTTTAAATCGTTTTAAAATAGCATGAAACATATTTAAACCAGTCGACAGCTCGAATATGACTTTAAAACGCTTCAAAAAATAAGGTGTGCTGTGGGAAAAACCGCTTTAAAAAATACTTACTTTTAAATTAAGGTATATAGGTACATTCAAATAAAATTATAAACACAAATTTTAATCCAAAATGTCAACTATTGTTTATTTCAACGGTCAACCATAAATAAACTCAAGAAGTTCAAGGCCGCATCGGCGAAACAGCGATTCCAACAAACCGATGGAAAAAAGTAACAGGTATAGCGACCGCTCCAACAACGTTGACAAAATTCGTTGTACAGCAGAAAATAAGATAACTATTGTGTCTGCTAAACGTAGCCATTTACTCTAACTATATAAACCCCATTTGATATAAACGAATAGTTACTTACCGATATTAACATATTACTTTGATCAAAATATTCGGCCACAGGTATGACATTCTTGTAAAAATTATTTAATTCCATACGAGCTAAGGATAAAACAACTTGACCTAATTTGGCACCATAGTCTATTTGTCTTTCTAACACTTTTTGCCTCCACGATATCAGTATAACGCCTTGGACACTTTGAATCTGAAAACAAAATTTATTCAAAATATTAGATAGAAAAAATTGATATAATAACAAAAATTAATAATAATACTAGCAAGAGCTAAAAGTAAAACAATTTAAATTTTACAATGAAGATGAATAAATTATGAAAAAACAATATATGTTTGTAGGGGTGATTTTCTTTTACAGAAACACTTCCCAGGCAGTCGAATCCTGGAGGACAGGCAACATGTACCCCTTCCTTTAACGGAATCGATTATACGATCCAAAAAGGAGGACTGGAACTTTGTTGCACAAATTGTCTCTCCAAACGCCATGAAATGGGCGATGAATTCATTCTCCCCCTTCAAATCACCCGGAGAGGATGGCATTTTCCCCGCCCTTTTACAAAAAGGAAAGGAACTCCTGCTATCCCTCCTTGTGAGGTTGTTTAGAGCAAGCCTGGCGTGGACCTATATCCTACTAGAATGGACGTTGGCGAAAGTCGTGTATATACACAAGGCTGGTAGAGTAGATACCTCCCTACCAAACTCTTATCGTCCAATCTGCCTAACATCCTTTCTTCTAAAAACACTAGATATGATTCTAGATAGGCATATTAGAGAAGGAAGTCTTCGGGCAAACCCGTTAAACGCCTCTCAATATGCCAACCAGGCATGCAAATCGACAGATCATGCCCTGCACAATCTAGTAGGCAAAATCGGCCATTCTCTAAATCACGGGGAGATTGCGCTAGGTGCCTTCCTAGATATAGAAGGCGCGTTTAACAACTCCCTTCATCAATCTTTGTTCTCTTCTATTGAAAGAAGAGGAATCGACAAACTAACCTATAATTGGATCAAAAGCATGCTGGCAAACTGGAACATCACTTCATCACTGCAGGGAGAGACTATCACTTTCAGGCCCACCAGAGGATGTCTACAAGGCGGCGTACTTTCACCCCCACTGTGGACTATTCCGGTGGATAACTTGCTAGACGATCTCTCCCGACAGGGGTGGATTTCCAAAGATATGCGGATGATCTGGTTATCATAATTAGGGGAAAGTTCGAAGAGGTGATCTCCAACATCCTTCAACAAGCACTTAATACGATCAACAGATGGTGCGAGAGGGAGCAGATGTCTGTTAACCCCCGCAAAACTGTTATTGTCACCTTTACCGAGAGAAGAAAGCTCGATAAGCTTCGACAACCTACCTTGGCTGGGGAAACCATTCCTTTTGTGGAGGAGGTGAACTATCTGGGAATCACCCTAGATAAGAAACTCACCTGGAACCCCCAATTGGATAAAACCATAAACAAAGCAAGATTATCCCTCTGGACCCTTAGAAGGATATGTGGCAAAGCATGGAGGAACAGTCCTTAACTGATCTATTGGATTTACCAAACAGTGGTAAAACCCATGGTTACGTACGGCTCTGTCATCTGGTGAGACAAGGGACTCCAACGGACGGCCAGAGCAAAACTGGGTGAAATACAGCGGCTTGCGTGCCTCGCCATAACTGGAGCAATGTCAACTACACCTACGGGAGCCATGGAGACCATGCTGGACACATTCTGCTGGAAAGGAAAGCGAGAGAGTTGATTAGTTTTCTCCCCGCAAACAAGACTATAAAGATCTTCAGATAGCCAGGCAGCCCTTAAGGCCCTGAGCTCCAATAGAGTTGACTGAAAGCTGGTTTGGAACTGCATAAATACCCTAGAGTGCCTCTGTGCCCGGAACAAAGTAACTTTGATTTGGGTTCCAGGACACAGTGGTGTGGAGGGCAACGAAAAAACCGACGCACTTGCTAAAACAGGAACCGAATCTGTGTTCATAGGACCAGAACCATTCCTGGGCATTGCAAAAAGCACTGTCAAAGGAATTATCTCAAAGTGGACGGAGGGCGCAACACTCACAAACTGGAAAGATGCCCCAGGGCTAACCCATTCGAAGGCGTTTATAACCAACCCTTCCATGAACGCCTCTTTTCAGATCCGAGAATGGAGTAGGAAAGAACTACGCATTTTCACTGGACTGATGACAGGACACTGCCGTCTGGGCAGCCACATGAGAAAGATAGGTCTGCAACAAACATCGGACTGTCGATTCTGCAGCGTGGAGGACGAGTCTGCAGAGCACATTTTATGTATCTGCTCCGCTCTGGTAAGAACCAGGTTCCAGAACTTCGGATTTATCCGACTGGAGCCTACCGACTTTAAAAAACTCTCACCCAATTCAACCATGACCTTTATCAAAAGGTGTGGCTTGTACGGTGAACTATAAGTTAGTCATGAGCCACAACAGCCCCATCTGGGTCGCAGTGGAAGGCGATGAGATCATCCCACTCATTTTCAACCTAACCTAACCTAGGGGTGATTTTAAAACAATTGTTCTTATATTTAATTTCACTAATAACAATTTTTTAATAATCTAATATGTTAATGATAATGTTCGATTATTTGATTTTTCGATCAACTGCTTTTTTCAATCAAATCTATTTTCGATCTATTTTCTTTTCGTTCATTGTTTTTTTGATCAATTGTTATTCGATTAATTGTTTTTTTGATCAAACCATTCGATCAAATGTTTTCGATCAGATCGTATACGATAAATTTTGTGCCGCCCGTATAGATGGATATAGGGTTTAAAAAATAATATTTTATATATCAAAAGACTAAAGTGCAGCTTTTAACCTGATAGCATCCATCACTTAAGGTATTAAAAGTCACTTTGGTCCTCCTTAAAAGTAATATAATTATTTCACATCTAAAAAGTAAAAATAAAATATATTTCAAATTAGTAAAATTCGTTTAAAAACTGCACACTCTTGTAAAAATTAGACAAACTTCAGACCCATTATTAATTGTGGAAATAAAATGTAATATTGATTTTAATAATGATAGTGATAGAGAATCAGAGAAACTACAAGAACAAGTATTAGAAGAAAATGATTACTTAAGGACGGGGTATCCTTTTTACCTATTTCTTATTTTTTGAAGTGGAGGGTAAATAAATTTAAACAGCACTTTTAAGATAAAATAAAATGGGGTTCTTTTAAATGATGTGCTTTTATTTAAAATAAAAAATTATTCATTTTTAGTAGTAAGACTACCCAAATTTCACTTTTATTGTTAATTGTTATTTTTAAATGAACTTTTATGTTATTATGCTATTGGTGTTTTACCAATATTCACCATGAATTAATTGCATGTATTTTTAATGTTGCAGATTCGCCCCTTGCTTGCTGAGCGGCTACTTACAGAAGGTTGGTCTACGTTTTTTCTTGCAAGTAAAAGTTCAAAGTATAATAGATAAAGTAAAATTAGTAGAAGTTTAAGATGAAATTTCCCATAAAAGATTGACGGCACTGAAGAGTGGCAATGGCGATGACCATATTGCAAAAGGATCAAGGCAAATGGAGTAACACAATTATAAGATAGATTTCATTTGGTGAACAATGTGTTGTGTAAAGGAAAACTTAAAAAAATAACTCACCTTTTCTGAATATTCAACAACATCACGCATATTTCTTGGATACCCTGACACAAGATAAGTCTTGGCATTGGGAGCCATTTTCATCTCTAACATGAGAACTTCTGTTACAGTTTTGCTGGAAAGAAGGCCAAAATCTGGCATATCTGGAAAAAAATGGATCATAATATTATTCACGTTCATGAATTTTGCAGTTTTAAACCAACAGCAATAATAATAATTTCTAAGAATTTAACATACTTCATAGAAACAGTATTGATTAAATCATATTTTACGACTAAAACATTTTGCGTGTTTGCTGAAAACACCTAAAAAGTGTCATAACATCTGAATTAATATGATATTCATAGGAATTTATTTAGTTTAGTAAAAGTAAATGTTTAAAATTAGGTTTTCACTTAAAACCAAAATTAGTTATAAATTTCAAATCAGCTATTCATAATAATGTTAAATACATTTCTCGGATAATAATATGAGTTGTCGGTTTCAGTTAACACAGAATTTTGGAGAAAAATGCAATTCATAGGTTCAGGGGCGGCTTGTGACCAAAATTTTGGGGGTTCACAGTAGCAGAATATAGATTCCGGAACAGATATAGGTAAAAAACTGTCAGTGTTTTAGAAAGGTATATTATAAACTTTCTAAAACACTGAAAGTTTTTTCATACATCTGTACTGATACCTATATTCTGTCACTGTGAACCCCCAAAATTTTGGCCACGAACCGCCGCTGAATAGGTTTATCGAAAGATGATAAGCGCAAGCGCAGCCACCATATTAAAATAGCGGTAATTCAAAAGTTTCGTACTGTTTTGATTAATAATGGCTGGAAAAGCTATATTATCTCTACAGACAAATCAATCATTAGAAAATATAGTTGATGGTGTTTTACTTTTTTATAACTGCTCATAGTTGTGAGCAATTGAAAAGGTACTTGAAGTGTCATTGACATTTGAAAAAAGGGAAAAAGTGTGCTGATTGAGAGGTTAGGTATCAATACTTGTTTACTGTGTAAAAAAATAATAAAAACAAATAATAATTATAACTCTCTTTTAATTAAATATGCCAACCAACTGTTAGTACTTGAAAAAATACTTTAATTTACATGAAAGTTAATTACGAGTATAATTATTTAATTCTTTGAGGATCTACATGACAGTTTTAACAATATTATTGTGTATACCGAAGTAAGTAGTATTTAATATTAAAAAAATATTGTGTAATACCAGATAAGGATTTTCTTTTGTTAAACCACTTTCTCCATGAAAACGTAATGAACAAATAGTAACATATCATCTATCAATCGATCATAAACCTTTGTCCCTTCGACCACATTTTTTAGCTTATTTTGAATGTTTTAATATGTATTTTGCCTGATAATTTGATTATTTTTTTACGATATTGCAAGCAAGGATTTGGAAAATTTATAAAAAATAATATGTATTAAATTTGAATGATTTATTCCATGTGTCACTTTAACATACTCCATAACAACACCGTTTCATTGATTCTTTTCGTACAGATAACATTATTATTTTTCAATTAAGAGACTTATTACTTTATTTTTTCTTCCTTTTTTAAATGAATATACACTCACCGACTTAAAATTCGATCCATTCAAAATAATGATTTATTTAAAAATGTTCTAACTTTCAAATGCGGAGACTGATTTATTTGAAGTTTTCAGCAGCTTTTAAATAAAATACTGTAGTTTTAAGATTATTATTCGGATATCTAAAAGTAATTTAGTACTTGCCGGATATACAGGGGGGGAAAGAAAAATTTGCTTGGTCAAACCGTTCGCCTCTTCTTCGGTATATTCTTTCACGGCCATCAGGAGCACGTAAAAAAACCTTGACTCGTCAGAAAATAAAATCTTACTCTAGTCCAATGTTGATGCTCCCTGGCAAATCGAAGACGTGCTGTTCTGTGATTCCTAAGTAACTCCGGACCAGTTGTAGGTCTTCTGGAGCGTAATCCATGTTCTCGTAATCGCCTTCTAATCGTTATTTCGTTAAAAGCTACTTGACGTACTTCTTCTAAACGATTTCGAGCCATGACAGCAGTAGTATTTCTTTCTCGCAAAACATTTAATGTTACAAAACGATCATCTCGAACATTTGTAGAACGTCGTCTGCCAGATCCTCTTCGTCTCGAAAAACTACCAGTTTCATTAAAACGTTGTACAGCTCTCTGGACGCTACACCTTGTAACACCCACTATTCTAAAAGCATAATACTGAGACCTACCGTCTTGTACCAGAACAACTGCTCGTACTGCATCGTAGGCGTTAAAACCATGATGTTATGCTGATAATGAATATTTGTTGTGCTGATAATTAAACTGCAATTGCCAAGTAACGAATATTTGACAACTGTCATATTGTGAGTTGGCCACAGCACTCTACTTATTTTGTAGTTTATTCTCTACCGTCATTTAAATTATGACCGTTTCTAAAATGTAGCATTTTCTTTAAACCGTCACATTTCACAAATAAATTAAGATATCGGGGTAAATAAAAAAACAAAGTGTTGGAAACAAATCAGTTTTCTTGATAAAGTTAATAGTGTGTAGATCTACTAGCAGAATTAACCTGTCAAAAGTAGAGGAAAAAATTGTTTTCTCTTCTCCCCTGTATATGCGGCGAGTACTAAATTACTTTTAGATGTTCGAATAATAAGCTTAAAACTACAGTATTTTATCTAAAAGTTGCTAAAAAATTCAAATAAATCAGCCTCCGCATTTGAAAGTAAGAGCATTTTTAAATAAATCATTATTTTGAATGGATCGAATTTTAAGTCGGTGAGTGTACTTAAATTGCTATTTATCAATTATAATTCTTTTTCACTTGGGCATTTTAACATCCTTATTTACAAAAAATAGTACGAGAAAGGTGATTGATACTGACGCATGCGCAAAAAAAAAAATTGTAATGAAAATGCCTATTGAAAAAATGATTCACTTAATTTTTGATTTAGTTTATTTGCCTCCTGAAGAAGTTATGAATGCTTTTGTTGTAAAACGGTTGCCTTAAAAAGCTTAGTTCGTAAATGACGTTAAAACAAATTATTTGTTTTAAAAAGTTCGACCAATTCCACACAAATAGGAAAATATTCAATTTCTATTCGATAAAGTGATAAAAAATAATCGATTTTCATGTGCTGCCCATTCACGTGTCCATTATAATTGTGTATTTGGTTCGGTCAGTTTCAAGTTCATTACTTCGATTTTACAGCCAAAAGCAGTGAATTAATAGGGTTGCGTGTAAAATGTCAGGGTCTGACTTACGCACAATGGGCATTTTTAGTATAATAAATTTATTATGTAGAAAGAATATATTAGTCCAATCAATTTAAACTTTGAGAAAAAAAATGTTAACAGGACTTTGATAAGTGTAAATGATAGAGGGGCTTAGAATAATAAAAAAAAATTAAGGCAACCTGGGAGGGGGGTTAAAGTTTTAGGGGGTTAAAAAATGGTATATTCGCGATTTCCGGAAAAAGCTGACATCAAAAACAAAAATGTATAATACAAAAATTGTAGATCAAGCAAAAATCTACAGCTTTTGTAGAAGTTACTTTTTAACATAACCTCAAAATTTTCGATAAAAATAAAAAAGTTGGTTTGAATTTTTTTTCCAATAATAATTCAATTATGATAAAATTTGATAAAATTATACATTCGTGTGTCTTAAATAAGTAAAAATAATTTTAAATAAAAAAATTAAAAAATTTAGAGATAATAAATTTTTCGGTCAAAAATACTTTTTTTTTAAAAATAAATTCTACGGTGAAAAATTATCCTACAAAGTTTTTCAGGTACTCATTTTTTTATTTTGACATGTCGAGGGTACTCTGACGTAACCAAGTAACTCGATTTTTGAGGGTTTTGAGTTAAACCCGAATTCAACTTCGGAATATGTTTTTACATAACTGTGTAAAATTTTAAATTAAAATCATTACCCGTTAATTAATAATTTAACAAAATAAAACCTCGTATCTCAAAAGCCGAATGTTGAAAATACGTAACTCATATCATACCACACCTTCTAAGTTTCTACGGTAAAAGCTGAAAATAACGTATGACGTTTGGACAGGTTTAAATTAATTTTTTGAGAATTTCGTTTATTTCTTGTAATATTCATTTATTCCAAAAGTTTGTAACTGATTCTAAACAATATTTTTGAAGATATAAAATATCAGGTAAGTTGAATTTCTTTGATGACAGAATTGCTAACCTCACTTACTTGTCAAATTTTTTGTACAATTCATTCATATTTGATTAATCATTCCTCGTATTTTTCTAGAAAATGCCTTCAAAAAAGGAAGACTTGCTAAAAAATTAGTTAAAGATGTTGAAAATTTTTATTGATAAATTATTATTTAAATATAGATGAAAAACGGGAATAATTATTTTTTGCTTTAAATTATCAATATTACATTCAAAAATAGTATTTTAACTAAGTATTTTAAATAAAAGACTATTTTCAACATTATTTATACCTGTAAGTAAATCCTCGCAACTAGCATTTCACTCGCAAACTCGTATCTCACAATTTAAACAAAAAATCAAACTTGAAATATTTTTTCAAAAATAATTCGTATATTATACAGGGTGTTATTGAAATACACGTACATATTAAAACTGGGTATTGCACAGATCCCCACTGAATGTAGAAAAATATTATTTTTTAAAAATACCCCTTATTAAGGGAGTTATTAATTTTTGAAAATTAATTCTAAAACAAACGTACTTTACTGATATGTTGAGGATGACCTATATAAATTAGGTTTATTTACGTATTTTAAACATCAATAGTAATTAATATGCAAGTTTTTGTCAGATGATAAGAAAACTAGTCTTGTAAGAAATAACCATGTTGCCAAGATTTTCGAATTAATTTCTATTTCCGAAGACTGGTTTTTGCTACCCTCGTTATCAAAAAACTAGAATATTTGATAAATTATTGTTTTTAAAGTATACATTTTTGAAACTATAGATTATTAAAATTTTAGTTGATTTACGAATCTGGCTAACACGAGCGCGTCATTTCCAAGTTGGTAAAAAGTGTTGTTACGATTACTTTTAAATATTTTTTTACGATGCCACTATTTACGAATATTGAACTAACGGATATAGTGCTGGTT